AATAGATATTAGTAAAGTTGGAAACAAAAACAGCGAAGACACTCAATGAAGCCAATAGTTGATCCTTAGAGAAAAAAACCACTTAAGCTCTCCTTGACTTGATGGCTTGTGCTGAGAAGTCTTCCATGATACTGATGGGTTTTCCTATGAAGGATTGGTTTCCTTGTGCTGAATTTCCTTGATCTTATTATATGTCTGGTATAGCTTTATTTTGGCCGTGGCTAGTTGAAGTTCTCTATGACTCACTTATCTGTATGTCACAGCTCCTTTTCCTTGCTTGGGAAGTTTTCTTCCATTATTTTTGTAAACAGTCTTTTTATGTCATTGGTGTTGACTCCTGTTTTTTGCTGACATCTCTCCATCCTAAATTATCTTTCTTTTTCATCATCTTGCAACCACTGAATTGTTATTTCCTGGCTCCTTGTTATTTTTAAAAGATTTTTCCTTTTGCAATCACTAGCTGCAATCCTGTCTTCAAGCTCTGAAATTCTATCTTCAATTTTTTTCAACTGGTTTTTCCAGCTTTCAACTGAGTTGTTAACTTCCTGGATATCTCTGTGAATCTTTTTCATGCATTGTAATTCCTTTCTATAGTATTCATTCAAGGTTTCCATCATTTTCCAGTACTTCGCTTTTTTCTATATGTATTCTTTAGATATGTTCAGCACTTCTGTCATTATGTTTGTCATTTGTTCTTTTTCCAGAGATATTTCAGATCTGATCACTTAGTTGGATCCAAAATGTACAACAGATATTGTGAAGGTGACAAGGGAGGAAATATCTAAAAAGGGAAGGTGGCAGCCAGTGTTAACTTCCTATTATCCTTGTTTTGAAGTTTTGTATTGTTTTCATTGTTTTGTTTGGTTTGGTTTTATTCTGTTTTGTGTTCCTAGATTCTATTATGTCTGATGTATAGGCAGCTATTTTGAAGACCACAAGATATATTATAGTAGTCATTGTTGATTTCCTATTATCTTGTTTTGAAATCTTGTATTGCTTTCATTGTTTTAATTTGATTGGTTTTATTCTGTTGTTTTGTTTGATTTTATTATGTCTTATGGTGTGGGCAGCTATTTTGAAGATAACATTAGGCATTATGGTAGCCACTGTTGATTTCTTATATTTTTTTAAAGTCCTGTATTGGTCTTATTGTTTTATTTTGATTGGTCTTTTTCTGTTCCACTTTGTTTGATTTTATTCTCTTTAAAATAAAGAAAAGTAAAATAAAATGATGAAATAGAAAAAAATTCCAATAAAATGGACAGAATTTGAAACCACTGACCAAGGAAAACTGTAAAAGCAGAAACTACAGACATTCAAAGCTCAGCATGGGACATTATGAATAACTGTGCACCCACATACCCAACAAGGCAGATGAAACTGACCCATTCTCCAAAAGATGTAACTCATAAAAGTAACACAAAAATAACTATAAAAGAATTCATAGTTAGAAAAATCTTCTTTAAAAAAATACACAGATTAGCCAAACCCATTTCAAGAGGAAATATTTCCAATTTTGTACAATCCTGTCCTGAAGACAGAAAGGAACACCCTGGATCAACTCTGTGAAGCCACCTTGCCCTGGTGCCAACAGTGGATAGAAACTACAGCAAAACCACAAGGAGTATTTCTTGTGAACATGGATATAAACATTTCATAATTAGCAAATTGAATCCAGAAATATGTAAATGAGACCAAGGTTGATAATTCAAGATTGGTTAGTAACGGAAGATGAAAATCATTGTAATTTACAATATTATCAGACTAAAGAAGAAAAACTACGATCAGTTCAACAGATGCAGTAAAAGCATTTTATAAAGTATTCATACAAACTCTCAGAAAACAGAGAATAGAGGAAAATTGGATAAGTCATCTACAAACAAAACAAAAACCTAAACTGGTATCACTCTTAACATAAAGTGACCGAAGTTTCCCGGCTAAGATCAGCAGCAAGACAAAGATGTCCTCTTCACTAACCTGAGATGGCCCTGGAAGCCCTGGAGACGCAATGGGCAGGACGAAGACAACTGTCTCTAATCTCAGATGACATGATAATCTGTGTGAAAACTATCCCATAGATTCCATTAAAAAGCTCCAAGACCTACTAATAAGTTTAGCAATGTCACAAGACAGTAAACCTAGGAAAACAAGTTGTATTTCTATATATTAGTAATGAAACATTGAAGAATTTTGAGATTTTATTTACAGAAACAACAAAAACAGAAAATATTTAGATTTAAATCTAACACAAACATGCAGGATCTATCTGTTGAAAACTAGTAAACACTGATGAAAGCAATTAAAGACCTAAATATTAGGAGAGACCATCATGCTGAGGCAGTAATGTGGGGGAGGATCCCCAAAATCACTTAACTGGTTTAACAATCCAGGAAACCTTGGGAGTTCCTGTAGATATTGGTAAGTTAATTCTAAAGTTTATGTGGGAAGACAAAGGAGCTAGAGTAGCCAAGACAATTCTGAAAAAGAAAAAACTAGATGTGAAGATTAATTACACTTACTTAAGTTTGGCAGTTTGATATTGGTGAAAGTTTAACACAGACAATATAAAAGGTTAAATTGTAAAATTTTGGAACAAAACACAAAAGAAGAGTTGGGTGTACTGGCACATACCCATAATCCCAGCACTCAGAAGGCTGAGGCAGGAGGATCGCTGTGAGTGTGAGGCTAGCCTGGGCTACAAAGTGAGTTCAAAGCCAGCCTAAACTTCAGAGCAAGGCCTTTTCTTAAGAAAAAATAATAAAAGAAGAATCTTTGTAAATATAGGTTGGATAAAGAGCTCCTAGACATCAAAAGTGTGACCTACAAAAAAAGAAATAGATAAATTGCCCTTCCTCAAAATTAAACACTTTCATTCTCTCTACCACCCAGTCAAGAAAATGAAAAGATAAGCCATAGACTGTGAGAAAATGTTTACAAACCACACATATAAGAAAAGAGTGTGTCAGAATACATAAATAATTTTCTAAACTGAACAGTTTAGAAAACTGAACCATTTGGTGAAATGGTAGAAAAATATTCAAGCAGTTTAGCAAAAATAACACATGGATGGCAAATACCCAGAAGAAAAGACTTGACATACATGGTCATTGGGAAACACAGGCTGACACCACACAGTTTCAGAACACACCTACTGGTACAGAGGCTTTGGAAAAAAATAAAAGCATGTGTAGTGGCACAGATGCTGAGCTACTGGGATCGCTGCCACCATAGAGGTGCAGCCATGATTGGTGGATCAGCTTTGAGAACAGATGGGTGATTCCTTAGACAATTAAAAACCTGCTACACGATGCAATGGCCTTCGGTAAATGCCCCAAATGACATGAAGATCTGTGTTTACAGAAAAACCTGCATGTGAGTGCTTCCCCACAGCTCTTTCCAGAACTGAAGGCCACCCAAATATTCCTCTAAGGCAAATGGATACACAGTTTGTCCTCATCAAAGAAACCTTCTCTGTTAGGGACACAGATGACCTTTACATGCACTCTACTGAATGACAGAGCCACACATGGCCTGGTGCCATCCATGGGTATGTTACCAGAAACTTCCCTCCCCTCTTATCTCCCCATCTGTCAGTCTCAGCCAGGAGGTGTCCAAGTGTACACTGAGGCAGCCTTGGAGTGGAGGCCTCAGGTGGAGCCCAACGAGCCTGATGACCTAGCACAGAAAGGCTGGGCCTGTGGTCTTGATTTGATCTCGATGGCTCCAATTTTGGTCTTGATATTAACATAACAGCTAGCCCTCGGCCCCTAAACCAGCTCTGAATTGCTTATGAATTTATGATGCCAGCTATGAAACCGCTCCTTTTCCAGTTTGTCCTTTTGTCCTTAAGAGACTGAAGACTGGGAGCAAAAGTCATATTGGGTTGTTTGAGTTGCTTCAGTTATTTTGTTGCTTGGGGATATTTTTAAACTTCAGAAAGAATGTGTTTCCCTGAAATTTGAGAACCTCTGTCTTAAAATATGAGTAGGACCCCATCAACACTACCACTCACAACCCACCTAGTCCTAGTAAAAGCAAACATCTGAAACTTCTGCAGACCACAGAGCCATGAACCCATGTGTTGGATCTGGAACTTGTTTCTTCCCTTTTATGGAAACAGCTAGGGAACTCCAGCAGAGTGGGATGATCACAGTTCTAGCTTGGCTGAGGCACCCAAATGAGGGGATGGGTTTCAGGGGACCCTAAGCCTGGGGCCTCTTCTAAAGACTTCCTCAGAACGTGTCACAAGCAAGAAGTTACAAAAACATCTTCATGCTGCAGGGAAACAGGACGTGGACCTCCAGGTGACCTACCCCCACTTCCAGGTCTTGGCTTCCCAGGCCCCAAGTTGCTGCTGAGGAAAATCAGAAAAGCTTGGCTATGGCTCAGCTGGAACCAGCGTGATACTTCTCTAGGCCAGAGGCTCATAGGAGGGGGCTCAGAAAGAGACACCGCCTCAGCAGGCACATCCAAGGCTTCACAAAATGGCCTGATAAGTAGGAATATCAGAAGCATTGCAGGGCTAAGGTCTTCCTCCTTGAGGGTAGAGAGTGAAGAATGGCAATATGGAGGGTGGGGTATAGAATGGAGTGAGGAGAGGAGGGTGGAGGTGAGGAGGGTGGAGGTGAGCAGGATGGAGGTGAGGAGGGTGGAAGGTGTGAGCACGGTGGAGGTGAGGAGGGGTGAGGAGGGTGGAGGTGCGGGAGAAGGGTGGGCAGAGCAGGGTGGTCTACAGGCAGAGCTTAATAGAAGAGAAATGGCTTGATATTTCATCAGGCTTGTTCTCACTAAGGAGAAAATCCAGAGGATGCACAATGCAGGCCAACAGACGCAGCTGAGGCCACAGACACCCTTGTCCACCGGGCCTCATGCCAGGAACCTGACTGCAGCCCACAGTTCCCAGCCAAGGTGACAGGACGCCTTGTGGTATCTGTCCTGGAGCCTTGGCTTCAGGCTAACTGGAGGACTGGGGAAAGAGACCCATGGTGAGCTGCACTCACCTCCAGCAGCAGCCGCCCCTCCTGCACCGGGGCCCCTCCTCGCAGGCTGTCTCCAGGTGAGAGGGTGCATGTCTCCTGCACGGCTGTCAGACAGAAACAGACTGGTGAGGTGGAGACACAGCTCTTCACATTTTCCCAGCTCTGCCACAGCTACTGCTGTATCTGTGGCCATGGTGCTGTTCTGTATCTGTGGTTCTAGGGGCAAGAGGCGCCAGGCCTAGGTCCCATGTCAGCAAGGAGCAGCAGGGGTGTGACCAGCATGCAAAGGTGGACCTAACCAGGAGGAAACTGCCCTTGTATCCATCTCCCCAGCATTGCCACGTCCCCCTCCATGACAAGGATATCAGGGTCTTGCAGTAGAACTGGACCCAACATGCCAATGCTGTCAAGCCTCTGCATGTCAACCACCCGTAGTCCCCTCGCAGGCTGAAGTGTCCAAGGGCACTCACTAGAGTACAGGAGATTTCTAGTGTAAGTTCCCCATCCTATGTGGCCAGACCACTCTGCAGTAAAGAGCTCAGGGTCCAGATGGCCTTCTGTTCCCATGCCAGCTGCTGAGTGCTGGCTTTTAGACCCAGCTGAGTGTTTAACTCCACAGTGAACATCCAAATTGGCATATGGAATGGTGGGGACCATCCACCCAAGAGGGGGATAAAAAGAGGGTCCCAGCAAGGCCCTGGTGCAGATGCCTGGTCTGGCTCAGCTGACTCCATGTGGCTTTGCCTCCAAGGAAGCTTGGGCTGGCAGTTTCTTTGTTTCTCAGATTCTGGAGAAAAGTTGCAGGTGGCTACTTGCAACACCATTCCAACGTCCCTATCCAATCAGAAAGAGACTTGTTTTGACCCTGGGATACACTATGCCCTCAGCATTTCCTTCGGATAATGAGCTATTCATGAACTTTTCCCCTCTGAGCAGCTGTCTTGAGGTAGCCAATTGCACTGATTTGGGTGCCCACAAGTATCAGGGCTGTCACGAAACTCTGCCTCCAAGGCAGCATCCTCTGACCCCTCACTGTCCCACTAAGCCTGACTCTGACCAAGGTGTGCCGCACACAGAGCCCCACTGCTCAGAGAAGTCAAGCCAGTGGGCACCAGAGTGCTTTAGAAAGCTGCTCAGAGTCCATTTATAGCCCATCGCATTTTGGAGAGGAGGAGGCTGCTGGGAATATTATTTAAAAACAAAAGCAGTGCTCGAGTGGAAGCTCTGCAGTTCACAGTCACTCAGGCAGGACGGGTGTTCCCAGCTCCCCCTGCACCTCACTGTGATTCCATGCTTTCCCCATCTGAGGGCCTCCCATAACCTGCCAACTTGTCCGTATGAACTGAGAATGACCGTATTGCCACCCTGGTGTCCACACTTGGCCGCTTACATTCCAGAGGCTGTCCCACATGCAGGACCCACTTTGGGGCCTTCTCTGCATATTCTGGGTCCAGATGGGTATAATTGTCCTCCCTTGGGCCTGGGGTTGCCCGAGGGGACACAGCAACTCCCCCTGACATTTTCCTGGGCTGCTGCCTCCACTGCCACAGTGCAGAAGGACAAGGACAGGGGTGGGGCACTATAGGAGGTGGTGACCACACAAGGCTGCCCCTTGGGGTCACCCAGGCATCAGAGCCATCACTCCCACACCATGGTTCCCAGGTGAGACTGGGTTTCTATGGCTGGGCTTCCTGAAGACAGGCATAGACCTGGGGTCCTTGCAGCTTCCCGGCAGGGCCCCCACCTTCTGACGGCTCCAGGAAGCCCTTGTCTGAGGTATTCACCCAGTATCCCTACTAGCATTGGGCAGAGGCAGGCCCCTGAGGCTAATGCCCCTGGTCCTGGGCTGCTCTGCCCTATGGAGGGGGTGGGTGAAGGCCCGTGCATCTCCAGACACTAGGAGGGACTGGACGAACTGGACACCACATTTCCAAGTCCTGGGCTGCAGAGGACGACGTCCCCAGCTCGCCGCGCACCTGCGCACGAAGCCAGTGGCAGCCACCCGGGGTCGCCTCGAGTGGCCCCAGCGGAGGGTCACCACCTCCACTCCACCTCACCCCCCCCCACTCCACCCCACCTCACCCCCATCGCGTGCAGTGCGCTTCCTCCTGTGGCCAAGACCGTCAGGCAAGGCGGCAGATCGCGTGCGAGCTAAGCCGCAGGCGGGACAGGGCCGGGGGCGGGACGCTCTCCCCTGCCCCTTGCATCCGCAGCGCTGGCCCGTGAGGACAGGGAACAGGTATCTTTTGAGGGTCTGCGCAGGACAGAGACTGAGATCCGGGTCCTACAGTCCCCTGGGCGGAGGGGGAAGGGAGGACGCGGGCAGCAGGCAGCGGGCAGCCAGTGAGTTGGGGTGGGGTGTGGTGTGAACGCAGGATCTCTGTGCTCCAGCCCCTGTTGGTCCACCCTTTCCTGCCTCCACCAGTCACGCCCCTCGTCCAGGAGCCTCCCCTGGGGGACAGCACCGCACTGAATGCCTTTTAATTTCTTGTTTCCCTGGAGATTCATTTGGAAGAGCAGGAATCTGAAGACCTACCATGGAGAGTCGGGCATGCCTGCAATCCCAGCACTCCAGGAGGCCGAGGCAGAAGGATGGGGACAGCCCAACCTGGGCAAACTTGGTAACTTAGTTTGTCTCAAAATTTAAAACTTTGTTTTTTTTAAAGGCTGAAGATGTAGCTCAGTGCCTTGTGTTCAATTTCTGGTAACACAAATCCACACCTACCATCAGGTAACTAAGACTACCACACTGTCAGCAACACTGGGGTGGACTGGGGATTTAGCTCAGCAGCATAAGTGCTTGCCTTGCAAGCAGGCAGACATGAGTTCGATCCCCAGTACCGATAAAAAGGAAAAAGACAAAAAAAAAAAAAAAAAAAAAAAAGGAAAGAAAGTCAGCAACACTGGGGCTCTCACAATCAGGCAATACTACAAGCTATCACCTTAGGTGGGACCATGCACCCTGGGGCCAGTCCCTCCAGCAGCCGCAGAGGACTCATGGCCTCAATCTGGCCTTGTTCCCAGTGAAAGACAAGCAGAAAGACAGGGCCATCTCTGCTACTGGTCCCTGCTATGATGCCTGGCAAGTGGAAGCCTCTTTGCTCCCAGCTCCAGCAATGCCAAGTCCTCTCCTGGCAGTGGGGTGGCATCTGAGCACTGGGTAACTAGCCCCATTGCTACCCTTCTCCTGAGCTTACTTTTACTGTGGTTAGAGCTGGAGCAGAGATGTTCCAGGATTGCAGCTAAAGTTCCCTGAGTGTAAGGCTAGGTAACATTTATTTTCAATCTTCAAAAGATAGAGGGGTGGGAGCCAGGCAGAGCTAGAAGAGCTGAACAGAGGATAGGAAAGACAGAGTCAGAGAGACAGACCCATTTGCCTGGTCTCCTCCCAGACAGTGGTCTGTTCTGCTCTGATGTGTGTGTGTGTGCTGGGAGGCGGATTGTCAGGCAGGCTGCAGGCTGTAGGCGTCCCAGCCCACAGTTCCAGTCTGCCCTGTGCAGACAGTGGGGGGCAGCAGCACAGAAACAAGGATGGACAAGCAGGGGTGGCCCACACTGAAATCCTGGGACAAGACTGTGACATGCTTCAGGGCCCCCCAGCCACAAATGCCTGACCCCTTCCTTATGCAGGAGGAGAGGTATAAAGACCAGCCATGGAGGTGCATTGCAGAGCCCCCTGTGGACACTGCTTCCCATATCACTGTGTAGGGCCACGGGTGTCCAGAGGCATAAACCAAAGATGAAGATAAGCCCTGAGCTTCTCACCAGCCTTAGTAGGCATTTCAATCCTAATGATAAGATGTGATCAACAGACAGACATAACCGATACCCCCAGAAAACTTCCTAAATAAAGTTGCTCAAGAGCCAGGCATGGTGGCTCATGCCTGTAATCCCAGCACTTGGGAGGCTGAGGCAGGAGGATTGTTGCAAGTTTGAGACCAGCCTGGGCTACAAAGTGAGCTCAAGGCCAGCCTGAACTGCATAGCGAGACCCTGTCTCAAAAAGACTAAATAAATAAATAAATAAAGTTGCTCAAGCAGTGCACAGGATGGTGGCATGTGTAATCTCAGCACTCTGGGGGCTGAGGTAGGAGGACTGTGAATTCAAGCCCAGTCTGGACAACCTAGAAATTTAGCAAGATCCTTCTCAAAACAAAAATAAACAAAGGGCTGGGGATGTGGCTGAGTGCCAAGGCTTTGGGTTCAACCTCTAATACCAAAAAGAAAAAAAAATTGTTGGGGCTGGGGATTTAGCTGAGCGGCATAAGCACCTGCCTTGTAAGCAGGCAGTCGTGAGTTCGATCCCTGGTACCGAAAGAAAAAAAAAAAAAAGAAAAAAAAATTGTTGCTCAAAGATCTATAGGTTTTCTGGGAATACCTTAGAGCTGAGGAGCTGCCACAGTGACAGCAGAGTTGACCTCAAAGTCCTGAAGAACACTGAAGTCCTCCTTCTGGGTCCAGGACAGATTTAGGATAGATGCATTTAGGACAGATGACTTCATGACAGGTGGGTCCAGGACACTCAGTGCTACCAAAAGTGGAAATCACAGAGCATCCATGTGTGGAACAGCTTCTGGGGACCAGAACCCAGGACTTCTACCCCCTGGGGACCTCATCGATTCAGAGCAGCCAGGTGCAGATCCAGTGCTGATGGCCACAGTTGGTGGGAGTAGGTCTGGGTCCAGACTTTGACAAGGATAGGACCAGTGCCACAGTGAAGGTCCCGGGTCAGCAGTGAGGAGTTTCTGGAGGAACCCAGCTTCTATCAGTGACCCAGGTTGGCCAGTTACTGAGGCTGGAACAGAGCAGCAAGGGGAAAAGGAGGTGTGGGGTACCTTCTGCTCATTGGCTCCTGGTTCTCAGGCTTTGGCTTTCAATTTTCCTGGGTCTGCAGGCTATGGGGCTCTCAGCATCCTTGATTACGTGTATCAACTGTGTAACACTCCCTGATCTGTTTCTCTGGAGAATCTGGGAGGAAACACACAGGAGAGTCCAGCTCAGGTGACCCATGGCATGTCAGTGTCAGCTGAGAGCCCAGGCTCCACAATGTGATAAGAATGTGTCCCACTGAGCCTGCCACTACCTGTCATGCTGTCACACTGCCTGCCTGGAACCTTACCCACTGTGAGGCTCAGGGACCAGGAAGTGGCAGGGTGACCACCTGTCACAGTGGGTATCTGGGCTGTAGACTGGAGTTTGGCTGTCAACATGATGGTAAGTGACCGTGAGCATATACATACAAATGGCATGGGTGAGCGGGGATGCGTATGAACACTGAGAGATGGCGTCGTGAATGTGTGGGTGTCTAAAGCTATGTGAACAGTGTGTGAGGGTGTAAGAAATGTGTGTGAGGGTATGTATATAAACGTATATGTGTCAGGGTGTTGTGCAAACAATATATATCGCCATGTGTGTGAACAGTATGTTAGGGAATGTGTGTGAATAGTGTTTGTGTGAACACTATGTGTGTGGAAACAGTATGCATCAGAGTGCATGTGTGAACAGTATGCATGAGTGTATATGCATGAACAGTATATAAGAGGGCACTGTGAATGATGTCTGAGGATGTGTGTTAACAGTGTGTCAGGGCAGTGTGAAGACAGTATAGTGAGGGCACAAATGTGAGTAGTGTGTGAAGGCATTATGTGAACAGTGTATCTAGAATTTGTCTATAAATTGTGTCAGGGTACATGCATGAACAGGATGAATGCAGGTGGGAATAGTCACGAAGATGTGCATGAATAGCCTGTGTCCAGGTGTGTGTGTGAGGGCCAGTGTGAGCAGTATGTGTGAGGACACCTGCGTGAGCACTATCAATGTGTGTGAACAGCACTGTGAAGCATGTGTGTGCCCAGGACATGTCGGGGTACATGTATAAGTGCTGGGTGCTGGGGGCAAGGCAGGTGGACAGGATGCAGGATCCAATGCACTGCTGGCACAGCTGTGGCCCATGATGCTGTCACCGTGTGGGAACATGTGTGTGAGGTGCTCACAGGAGTGGGAGGAGAGAGTGCGACCGGTGCAGGTGCAAGGCCTCCCGAATCCTGAAGTCAGACGGGCAGAGGAAGCTGAGATACCCTCAAAGCCCCAAGGCCGTGAGGCTAAAAAAACACCAGGAGTATAAATACACACTTGTTTCACTCAGAGGCAATCTCTAGGAAGCCAGAGCAGTGCAAGATGTGTACTGCACCAGGTTGCTACATCTTCTGTTGAAAAATTTCCAGATTTCTCACAGTGAGCTTTAGAGATTTTACACTTCCTCACAGTTCAAAAAGAACCACAAAAAAGCATTTCCTTTGAGACAGCAAGGACCACAGAGCTGCAGGTGGCAGAGCCCACATGATTCCCTGAGGTCACACAACCTCAGGGCCTGTGGTGTCTGCAACCACATGTTCTTTCTGCAGAGGAAATGCATCCTTGCCTTCAAAACCATGTCCTCATGTAAGATGCAACTGAAAATAGCTCTTTGGTGGAAAAGAGCATTGTTCATACACAATGTTAATTCACATTCTCTCCATGATGTGGAACTTCTAGAATGAGCAAGTTGGGAATTCTTGTTAGGTTCCTGCAAGTGCTACTAGGAGAAAGCACATTGCTGTGTGAGGGCTCAAGAAATGTTAAAACCTCAAAGTTTCTTTAAAGCTTAAATGTTGAAAAATCAAACACTTATTCAGTTACTAAGCACACACCTGTAGGTGTGAAGATGGGCGCACATGAGCCCTGTGGGCTACTGTGAGCTGTGCCTGCTGAGGTTGCAGATAGAACCTGGCACACCAGCAGAAGCTTGTTCTTCCCAACTGAGGGAACTGAACCTCATAGTGTCCGCAGTGCACACTTTCACATCTAAGAGCAGTCATCTTAGTCAGAGAGAGTATTGGCTCAGTCTGTATGTAATGCACTGAGCAGTGAACTCACAGTTACATAACTGTGAACTTGCACACCACTCCAATGTGAGTTGGCTTCTTTGCCTTTACTCGTCTTGCACAAACCAATCAGGACCACTCTAGGTCACTGGTTTACAACATAGACTTGGAATAGTCTCAAGCAACAGACTGATACCTTAATTCTGGCAGGGACAGTAGGACCTCATAGGAATACAATCACTTGTGCACCCAGGCAGGCACTCCCATTGAAGACTGCCAGTCCCTATCTCAGGGACACAATTGGGAAGGAAATGCACAGGTCCTGACCACTCACACCAAGAGTCAGGAGTTACAGCATGGGCAGAGACTCTGTCAGCAAAGGATAGGTGTGAACAAGAAGCATAAGAGGTGGCCTTCTGCTACAGGCCTAGAGAAGTGGGTCCCAAGATGACTGAGCAAAGGGTCCAGCACTCACTTCCACTTCCACAAAGAACCAGACAATATAAGACCAGCTGCATTTTGAGGAGAATGGCTGAAATAATGCAGGAACTTAGCTAGGAGAGGGGGGATCCTGAGGACAGGGAAATCTGGGTGGTGGCAGTGAGTGACTCAGCAGCTGGAATCTGGCTCCTTGGGCAGGGAAAGTGTGAACAACAGAGTCCTCGTGGGCACTGCCATCTCAGATGCCAATACCTGCCAAGAAGTCATGCACATGGAGCCCAGACACCGAGAGCTCAAACACGAAGTTCAGTCT